TGAGAGTGGCAACTACGCGCAGGATCTCAGCATCCAGTCACCACAGCTTTGAACCGTGTGTGAGGATCTGTGTTCTGTCTGGATTTATTTTGTGCAATCATTAGCAAGATGAGTCCTAAGGTAATTGCTTCTTTGTTTCAGGCCATTTTGGCTTACAAAAGGTTTCAGAGGAATTGCTTTATTTTCAGATAGTGGGGGAAACCTGTATCACTTAAATTTTAAAAATCCATCAATCAAAAAAAAATTCACCATATCCACAAACTAAACAGAAAAATCATGTGAGTATCAACAGATGCAGAGAAAACATTTGGCAAAATTCAACATTCACTGATATTACAGGGGGGAAACTTCTCAACAAAGCAGGAACACCAGGAACTATCAACCTGATGTACAGCACGTATAAAAAGCCTACAAGCATCATGGTATATAACAGCAAAAGACTGAACAATTTCCCTGTAAGATCGGGAACAAAGTCAAGATACCTGTTTTTCTGCTTCAACAATCAACCTTCTATTCAACACTGAAGGGGATGTTTCATTCAAGGCAATTAAGCAAGACAAATAAATAAAAGCATACAGATCAGCAAGAAAAAAATAAACTGTCTTTATTAACAGGTAACACAATCATCAATGCAGAAAATTGCAAAAAATCTACAAAATAAGCTATTTTAATAGATGAGTCAGTTCAGTCAGGTCATAGGATGCAAAGTCAATATATAAAAACAACTGTATTTCTATATGCTAGAAAAGAAGAATTAGAAACTGAAATTAAAAACCAATGCCATTACCAATAGCACCCACAAACATGAAATATTTAGGGATAAACATGAAAAATGTAGAAGATATTTCTGTAAAAAGTACAAAATACTGCTGGGATATATTTCAAAAAACCTAAATAAACAGAGCAAGATCTTGTTCAAAGACTCAATATTTTTAAGATATATTAATAAACGCAAACATTATCTATGTAATATTCAACATAATCCCAAAGAAAAATTCCAACTGGATATTTTTTTGGTAGAAATTGATTCAAAAATTTATTAGGAAAACACAAAGATTAGCCAAAACAGTTTTTTAAAAGCAGAACAAAGATGGAAGTTCTTTATCTGATCTCAAACCTTACCCAAAAAAGCTACACTCTATATACAGTTGTACAGTTGAAGAACAGACATACAGATTAACAGAACAGAAAACCTAGAAACAGACCCACACATAAGTGGTCAACTCATTTTCAACAAAGATCTAAGGAACTCAATGGAATAGACATTAATCTTTTAAACAAATAGTGTTTGGACAACTGGACAATATATGTAAAAAAGGAGAAGAGAAGACAGAAAGTGAGAGACAGGAATCCTTTATCTGATAAGGCACTGGCATCCAAAACATATAAAGAACTTTTACAACTCAATAATAAGAAAGTAAATCATATAATTTTTTAAAAGACAAAATTTTTGAACAAATACTTCAAAGAAGAGATATGAGTGGTAAATAAATATATGATGAACTAATCAGCATTATTAACTAGGAAAAATGGAAATGAAATCCAATAAAACAACATTAAACACCTAATAGCATCATCAAAGCTAGAAAAACCAACAATACCAAGAGCTAGAGAAGATGTGGAGTAAGCAGAAATCACAAACATTGCTTGTGGAAATGCAAAATGGTACAACCTCTCTGGAAAACATCTTCAGTTTCTAATAAAGTGGCATGTGCAGCTATTATATGAATATGTACCTAATAGACTATATTAGAGAATATATACAATCAAGATTTGTACATGAATGTTTATAACCACTTTATTTACAGTAGCCTCAAACTGAAAGCCTAAATGTTGGTGAAGAATAAAACAATAACAAACAATAAAAAAGATGAACAAATGACAAATGCATCAATACGGATGAATCTCAACAATAAGGGTTGACACAAATGGCTACATAATGTACCATTCAATTTATTCAACATTCTGGAAAAGGCAAAACTGTAGAGACAGAAATCAGATCAGTGCTTGTCAGGGGCTGAGGAAAAGGAAAGACATTTACTATAAAATCGCATTAAGAAACTGAGGTAACAGTAATGTTATAAATCTTGTGATGATGGTCATACACACACACTTGTCAAAATTCATTAAGCTGCAACTCACTAAATCTTAATGGTTTTAAAGTGGAGGTATATTAGTGCATACATACAGAATATCTCTGTAAGGACATTTATCTTTTTTTTTTTTTAATCCTTATACAAGATTCACTATATTCAGACACTATTCTAAATGTTGTACAAACATTAACTAAACATGGGAGATACCTTTAGGAACAGACCAAGTCTGAGGGTCTCAGGGTAAAGTGAGGCTAATTTTTTCTTCCCTGTTCACTCTTTCGCACTTTTAAACTCTTCCATGGACAGAGGAGCATGGCAGGCTATAGACTATGGGGTCGCAAGAGTCAGAAACAACTTAGCAACTTCACCACCACCACCATCACTACTCAATTATGTACATATCTTGATTATTTTTTTAAAAAGCTAACTTTTTAAAAGCTATTTTTAAAGAATTATTTTTATAATTGCTTTTGTCACATTCTCAAAAGATCTTATTGACAAATAAAGGCATTAACTTAACTCCTCTTACTTGATCTTTGCACCACCTTTTTTTTTTTTGGCCATGCCATATGGCTTGTGGGAATCTTGGTTCCCTGACCAAGGAATGAACCCGGGGCCAGGCCAGTGAAAGCACCAAGTCCCAAACACTGGACCAAGGAAGTACCAGGCACCTTTTCCTTAAAGCCTCCTGCTACTCTCTTTTACAGGTATTCTTCTTCCTCCTTTCTGTATCCTCCATGCGTGTTATCTGCTACTGAAATCTTAACACATACACTTAAGAAGCATGGCTGCTGTCTTTCCCCTCTCCTCTCTACACCACTGCCCTAGTTCAGACCCTCAGTATCTTTCACCTGAACAATTCTGCTAGCACTGGCCTCCCTGCCTTCAGTCCTGTCCTGCCCATATCCATTCACTGCATTACTTATAGGACTGTCCTATGCAGAAAGCAAACTAGATCATGCCACTTTCAAGCTCAAATCTCAATAATTCAAAAGCACATTACTTCACATAAAAATAGTCATCTTAGCTACTCTTGACTTTCCAGACTCATCTTCACATATCTAGAATTTTAATTATACTGTAACTTTTGTTACGTGATGTAAGCTCCTCGTCCCTAACACTTATTGGTCAGTTTCGTGAGTGTGGGGACCAAATTCCAGTCATCTTATCTTCAGTTTTAAGTGTCTGGTATCTAGTGGGTGTGATGATTAATTTTATGTGTCGACTTCTCTGGGCTAGGTACTCAAATATTTGGTCAAACATTATTCTGGGTGTTTCTGTGAGGGTGTTTTGGAAGAGATTTACATTTAAGTCACTGAACTCTAAAGAGTAAAACAAATGGCTCTCTAGAATGTGGGTGGGCATTGTCAGTTGAAGGCCTGGCTAGGCAAAGGCTGACCTTCCCTAGAACGAGAGGCAGCTTGCCAGTCAACTGCCAGACTCTGCAGCTCCTTCCTGAGTCTCCAGCCTGCTGGTGTCCCCAGCAAATTCTGGAGTAGCCAAGCATCCAAAACTTCATGGGCCGATTCCTTAAAATAAGTCTCTGTGTGATACACACACACACACACACACACACACACACACACTCCTCCCTGTGGGACCCTATTCCTCTGGAGAACTCTAACTAATAACACAGTGGGTATGCAAAAATAAGTTTTTCTAATTAATGAAATTAATGCTGATGTTTTGTTCTGTTTTATTTTCACTTAACTTACAAATAAAGGTCTATAAGGAGATTTATTCTGACATATTTTTATAAATCACCAGTTTTAAGTCAATATAAATGTGTTAAGTTAAAACAACATATACACAATATAAGAACTACAGAAACTTGAACACGTGTTAGGTTTCATGTTACAAATACTTTTAAAAGAAGAAAACACATTCACTAGCCAGGTTATAAAAACAGAACTGAAATCTCCCGTGATATCACACAGATAAATAATTTTTAATCACTCAAAATAACTGCCTAGATATTTACAGCACCTTAAAAAGTGTATCTATATATTTTTTTAATAGATAATTTCATTTTTACTCCAAATTTCACAAAGGTATTCCTGCAGAAACTGAAAATATCCCTGAGATAGAATCCATATGTGGGAAAATGGCATGGAAAAAACTGTATTGTTTATGACAAAAATAATTACTAAGCTTGTTTTGGGAATGTTCATACAAATGAAATGTTTAATAAAAATAATTTCTGCATATGTATAGATAAAATGATAATTGAATACAAAGTGAAATGAAGTCAGTTCCTGCCAAGTTAACTGCCAAGTCCTGAATTCAGGGTTCTCAGCTTCTCTTGCAATACAGGCAGGTGTTAATGATGTCATTACCTGCTGCAGAAGAAATAGGGGACCATGAACACAAGTCTTGGCAGAAAATAAACACCCTCTGAGTTTACCTTTAATTTAAAGTAAATAGAAAAATCAGTTTATAGAGTGTCTGTCCTATATAGCTCCTGCCCTAAAGGGATAACTCAGGATCTTTATTTCCAGGGTTTTCAGCTGTATTCCAGAAATAAAGGCTAACAACCTCCATTCTTAAAAAGCACAAATTAAAAAACTGGGTATATAAGGCAAAAATCATTAGTCAGGAAGGTAAAACTTACTATACTGGTATTAATATTATATAAAACATATACAATTATACAGCAAATTTTTAATATGTTCTAATTGTAAGGTTGTAATATTTTATCATGACCCCTAAACAGTGGTTATTTTGTACCAGGAGAATCTGTATCTTTAAAGATATGAAGACAAAAGTACCAACTTGGAAAAGTTAAAATTTGATACTTTACACGAGTTAAGACAGTACTAAGAGTCAAGGAACACTGGAACAGACTTGCCCATTATTTTTTTATTCTGACAGGACAGAACTTATCCATGTAAATTTAACTCTCACCTTGTCAAGTTGATCTTGAAGACTAGTGGATGCTTTATAACCAAGTTGTAACAGCATAGCTTCCGCAGCATTTTTTTTGGCTATCTTTTTATTAGGTCCTGTTCCAGTAGCAACTTCATTGCCTACCTTGACCTGGTGAGAATAAAGTAAGAAGTGTAATGAGAGCTGCTTTGGAAACAAACATTAACATCACAAAGCAATGTGCTCTGCTCTCTAGCATTCAAAAATATAAAGTTCAGTCCATAATAAAATAGCAATTAGGATCCCTTTTACATATATATACACGAATGCATACACAGAGAAAACTATGGAAATCTGGTCCTCAAAATGTCAATGGGGGTTATGTCAGGATGACAGAATCTTCAGTTCAGTTCAGTCGCTCAGTCATGTCCAACTCTTTGCGACCCTATGAACTGCAGCACGCCAGGCTTCCCTGTCCATCACCAACTCCTGAAGCTTGCTCAAACTCATGTCCATCAAGTCGGTGATGCCATCCAACTAAAAGAGTCTTAGAACATTTTTATTTCCTTAAATATTTCTATATTCTTTGATTTTTAAACAATAAACTTATTTATATAAGCAGAAAAAAAAATTCACATTGTAGAGAGTTGATTATGACTACATTTAGTATTCTTCACTTATATTAATAAACTGAAAAGGATAAAATTCACATTGCTGCCATTTAAAATAATGTTAAAATGTGCAGAAAACCTGAATACCCATTTCTCCAAAGAGGATATGGAGATGATCCACAGGCACATGAAAAGATGCTCATCACTGCTAATCATGAGGGAAATGCAAATCAAAAAAAACAATGAGATATTACCTCAAACCTGTCAGAATGACTATCATCAAAAATATCACAAATAACTAATGCCAGCAAGGATGGGGACAAAAGGGAACCCTTGTACACTGCTGGTGAGAATGCAAATTGGTGCAGTCACTATGGAACACAATGTGGCAGTTTCTCCAAACAACTAAAAACAGAATGGGGGGAGGGGTAAACTGGGAGAATGGAATAGAGATATATACACTACTGTACATAAAACAGGTAACTAGTGAGGACCTATTATATAACACAGGGAACTCGACTCAATAATCATAATGACCTATATAGGAAAAGAACCTTAAAAAGAGTAAATATATATATATATATGTATCCTTCCCAGGTGGCTCAGTGGTGAAGAATCTGCCTGCAATGTAGCAAACGCAGGTTTGATCCCTGTGTCAGGAAGATCCCCTGGAGAAGGAAATGGCAAACCACTCCAGTATTCTTGCCTGGAGAATCCCATGGACAAAGAAGCCTGCTGGCTACAGTCCATGGGGTCGCAGAAGAGTCAGACAAAACCTAGCGACTCAACAACAAGATGTATATGCATAACTGATTCATTTTGCTGTACACTTAAAACTAACACAATACTGTAAAACAACTACATTCCAGTGAAAATCATTTAAAAAAATAGAACTACCATATGTCCCAGCAATTCCATACCTGGGTATATATCTAAAAAAAACAAAAAAACTAATTCAAAAAGATACACAAACCTCAACGTTCATAGCAGCATTGTTTACAGCTGCCAAAATAAGATGCAACTTCAGCATCCATCAACAGATGAATGGATAAAGAACATGTGGTAATTATATACACAGTGGAATACTATGCAGTCATAAAAAGAACAAAATTTTGCCATCTGAAACAACATGGATGAACTTGAAGGATATTATGCTAACTGAAATAAGTCAGAGAAATACAAATACTATATGATGTCACTTTTACATGGAATCTAAAAATACAACAAACTAGTAAATATAAAAAAAGAGAAACAGACTTACAGATATAGAAAACAAACTAGTGGCTACCAGTGGGGAGAGGGAAGCAGGGAGGGGCACTATAGGGGCAGGGGATTAAGAGGTACAAACTATTATACATAAAATAAGCTATAAGGATATACTACACAGCAAACAATATAGCCAATACTTTATAATAACTATAAATGGAGTATAACCCTTAAAAATCATAAATTATTATACTGTACCCTTGTAACATATACTATATATCAACTATATAGTTGATATCAACTATATATATATATATATATATACATCAACTATATATCAATAAAAAGTCTTTAATCCAAAAAAATAAATTTAAAAAATTATATAGCTTACAAAGGATAACATTAAATAGTTTCTGAAGAGAACATATAAAGATTAATACAATACTGTGGTTAAAAACAAAGACTTCTGAGTCAGATTTGGATATGAAATCCAATTCCATTATTTCTCATGAACTGATTCAAATTATTTAATATCTCTAAGCCCCAGTTTTTTCATTAGTAAAAGAGGGATAATACAATGGCCTAACAGAGTTACTTTGAAAATTAAACAAGAAAATGTATGTAAACTACAGTGTATATTATAGTGTAATTGCTCAATAAACGGTAGCTTTTTATCATTAGAACTATCCCACAGTTCTCTTTTGTGAACAAGATGCATACATGTATGTACATCTACGTGTTTAAATATACATCAGCCATCTTATATCCACATGTACATTTCCTGAGCTGGGTAATGATTTTTCAGTCATGTATATGCTGAGATAATACAAATATAAAAATTAAATCAGAAAACAAAAAAGGAAAAAATTACATGAAGAAATAGAAAATACACAGTGAATGTGGGATTTATTTTTACAGATTGTTCTCAGTAAGTGATAGAAGGCGCAGACAAGAAGATAATCACAATTTTGGAAATTAAATAATGTAATCTAAATAATATATGGGCAAAGAAGACATCTCACTGGAAATATTTTAAATAAGTAATAATGGAAATACAATATGTCAAAACTTGAAAGATGCAGCTAAAGAGGGTGTAGAAGAAAACATATAAGCCATAAAAGCTTAGAGAAAGGGAGAAGAGTAATGAGCTAACCATTCATCTCAAGTAGTTACCAACAGCAAAATAAATCCAAAAAAACAGAACATTAAAAACAAGAGCAAAAATTTAGGAAATATAAAACAAAGTAAAACAGAGAAGTTCAAAAAGCCAAAAGTTGGTTTCCTGAAAAGACTAATACAGTGATAAACCAAAGGTAAGACTGATCAAGAAAAAACAAGAGAAGACACAATTAAGAATGAAGATGGGAGAGTATGAACATTCTGGAGCATTACAAAATAATAAGGGATACTGAATAATTCAGCTAACATTTTTTAATATTTAAATAAAATGGAAAATTTTCTATATAATTTCCAAAACGGGCACAGAATAAACTCCTAAGTATATAAATCTATAACACAAAAGAAGTTAAAACCACAATTAAAAACCTTTCCACAACAAAAACTTCTAAGAGTTTTTCTAGCAAGTTCTACCCAATATTTAAGGAAGAATAATGCTACCCTTACAAAAATGCATCCAAGAATAAAAAAAAAAGAGGAATCCATCCCCAATTATTCAGTGAAGCATCACTTTGGTTTCAAAATCCAACAAGAAAAGTATAAGAAAAAAATTTAAAGACCAGTTTCATTCATGAACATAAATGCTAGTTTAAACCATGTAATAGTACACTGAACTATTATGTGAAAAAAGAGAAAAATAATGATTAAGTTAAGTTTATTTAAAAAATGTAAGGTAGGTCTAACATTCGGAATTCAAACAAAATCAATCAATGTTATCTGCTATATTAATCAGTTAAGGAGACAAATCATATGATTGTCCACATAAATTTAACAAGGGCATTTGCGAAAATTCAATGTTCATTCATGTTACTCAGTCACAAAAAGGAACGCATTTGAGTCAGTCCTAATGAGGTGGATGAACCTAGAGCCTATTATACAGAGTGAAGTAAATCAGAAAGAGAAGAACAAATATCATATATTAACACATATATATAGGATCTAGATCGCTACCTGTGGCTCACATGGTAAAGCATCTGCCCGTCCACAGTGCAAGAGACCTGGCTTCGATCCCCGGGTCGGGAAGATGCCCTGGAGAAGGAAATGGCAACCCACTCCAGTACTCTTGCCTAGAAAATTCCATGGATGGAGGAGCCTGGTGGACTACATTCCATGGGGTCGCAAAGAGTCGGATACGACTGAGCGACTTTTCACTTTCATAGGATCTAGAAAGATGGCACTGATGAACCTATTTGCGGAGCAGCAATGGAGACACAGACATAGAGAACAGACTTAAGGACAGGGCTGGGGTGGGGGAAGGAGAGGGTGGGATGTATGGGGACAGCAATATGGAAACATACACTAACATATATAAAATGGACAGCCAACGGGAATTTGCTGGATGACTCAGGGAACTCAGACTGGGCTCTGTGACAACCCAGAGGGATGGGATGGGGAGGGAGGTGGCAGGGGTGTTCAAGTGGGAGGGCACAGAGATAAACCTATGGTCGATTCATGTTGATGTTTGGTAGAAACCAACACACTACTGTAAAGTGATTATTCTTCAATTAAAAATAAATAAATTTTACAAAATATTTTAAAAGGATCTCTTAACAGCTATCAGAAATTTTACAGTTCAAATCTGTGCAATGTTCTTGAAACATTTCACTTTGCTTTTTCTGCTGAAACCACATTATAACAAATCAACAGTAGTCTTATGGACCCCACTTAGAAGCACCGATCTAGTACTTGGAGTTGAGTGAACATGCACCACCTTCCGTATCTGCTGGCCTGCTCCTGACCCAAAGAGCAGGCCCGATACACAAAGTCTTCAAGTCCTTGGCTAGAGCCAGCCTCTGCTACCTGCTGTCTTTTCCAGTGCTTGGTTGGTTCCGTGGCTTCACAAGACCCTGTGTTGTTGCTAGAAAACTTGAAGCTAGAAAGAGGAAGCCGGCTATGCCAGAAGCTTCTGCTACTGCCCTGAGGGTCATAAGACTTGCCAAAGTAAATGGCAGTGAAAGATAACAGAGCAGCAAAAAATGTTTCAACTGTTTTCATGAGCTATATACCTCTTCTCATTCTCATTCAAAACTTCAGCTGCCTATCTTTAAATCTGTTACTGCCCAAGCCTGAGGCCCTCTGCCTCTAGGTTCCTGTTCTTGGGCCAGGGGGTTCCCATCACAGCATTCATTTTAGGTCTGAGTCTGCTGGCTTTCTGTCTGACCTACTCTGACACCAAAGACTTACTTCCAGAACAAGTGCTTCCAGATTCATTTTTCCTATTCACCCAACCCTTGCTTAACATGAGCTTTTATAGTCCCATGGTTCAATAGCTTGTGAGTAGCTGGTTACCCCAGAGTTATTTGTTAGAACTGAAAAAGACCATTGTGCTAAAGGACTTTGGTTCCCTGCCAGCACTTAAAGTGATCACTGAAAAAAAAAAAAAAAAATTCACTGCATTATAAAAGTCAGTAAGCACGTAAATGGGCTTCCATGGTGGCTGAGTGGTATAAAGAATCCACCTGCCAATGCAGGAGCCACAGCTTCAATCCCTGGTTCATGAAGATCCCTTAGAGAAGGAAATGGCAACCCACTCCAGTATTTTTGCCTGGGAAATTCCATGGACAGAGGAGTCTGGTGGGCTACAGGCCATGAGGGTGCAAAAGAGTCAGACATGACTTAATGACTAAACAACAACAAAGCATGTAAGTAAACCTCCAAAAGTCATCTTCCTAGAAGGCTTCCAAGATTTATGACTACTGTAAGATTTTTACATTAAAATGTAAATTTTTCTGCAAAGAAGCTCAATTATTTTACTATGCAATAAATTTATGATGACTAGATTTTTGTCTTTAAACAAATCATTTAAATTAAATCCTCTGGACTTCACTGGTTGTCCAGTGGTTAAGACTCTGCACTACCACACTGCGGAGCATGGGTTTGATCCCTGGTCAGGGAACTAAGATCCCACATGCCATACAGTGCAGTCCCCTCCCTGACAAAAATTCAAGATACTATTTTTTTTCTAATAATAATAATAAATTAATTCATTAATGAAGTCTTCAAAAAACAAGAAGTTTGGTAAAATAGCATTTACCAAAAACTTAACTATCTTCCACTGAGTCACCAATAAAATTAATGAAACTTCCTTAATATATATTTTTTAAAACTTGAAATCTTAAAAAAAAAACAAAAACCAAATCTGAGATCTTAATCACAGGTAGGTAGAAAAATTAACATCATATGATATATAATAATAAAATGTGCTGATACACAATTTAATTTAGTTATCATTATTTTCTCTTTGAAAAATTAAAATACCCCTTTCCAAAAAAAGAAAAAATTTGCTCTGGGCCTAAATGCCCAAATAGTGTCTTTGGAAATTTTCCTTTACCTAGTAATCAATACAAGTAACAACGTCCATTTTATAACACACATTTATTTGTGGGGTTTTTCTGGTGATAGACAAATATGAGCATATTATCTTTAGATCGTTTACTTCCACGTTCAATAATAATGATTCCATTATAAAAAGTGATAACACTGTTCAAGCAGTTTATACAAAACCCTTTACTTTGAGGAAGTTACAGCAACACTGTAATGAATCCACTGGGGCTTTCAGAAGAAGGAAAAAACAATATGAATTCAGTGTGAAATTTTTAAAAGCACAGCCAAATGTTCTTGTTTGACTAGAATGTTTATGAATACCCATAAAATGGAAGCTGGCCTAAGATATTCTAAATTCCTCTTTCAAAGTGGGTATTCGGTATATTCCACAGGAAAGGAATTGTTTAATAAAGTCAAAGCCAGTTTTTATTTGTAACACAGGTCTAAAATGTGTGTGTGTGGGGGGGGGGGGGGTGGATCTTTATTCCCTTAAGTTTTGGAGTTCAAAAAATACTTTCTAGAATTCCTCAAAATTAAGAATGTAAAAAGAAAACTGGTGCACATACTTTACAAAGCAAAAAATACTAGAACAACATTGCTCTGGGTCCTAACCACATCTAGAAAACCATGTGTTTAATAACCACAGCAGAATCCCTCCTCTTTGGACATTTAAGTTAACAACCATGGTTTACTTGTAACTACAACATAAGTTTATATCTCCAACAAAAGTCAAACATACTAGCTCTCAGTCAGGCAGGCAGGCAGGCAGGCAACAGATATACCTCATGGGTTTATAAGATCCTACTATATACATACCACCATATTGGGTACTGTGAGATAAAGAAACATGGGGGTTATAAATTAGGAAGGAAGGTAAAATTTAGACATGCACAAGAAGTTAATCAACATGAGATATTATGTTTGAGTCTAGATGTCTGCCACATGGTCAGCACTTAGTTAATATCTGTTGATTGTAACTGGGTTACATTAAATGTGAGATCCACAGGTTTGACTGGAAAAGCTTCTTTGACAAGCCTGTTGTCGCTCAGTAGTGTCGGACTCTAGCCTGCCAGGCTCCTCTGTTCATGGAGTTCTCCAGGCAAGAATACTGGAGTGGGTAGCCATTCCCCTGTCCACCCAGCAATCGAACTGGGGTCTCCTGAACTGCAGGCTGATTCTTTACCAGCTGAGCTACCAGGGAAGCCAAAAACGTAACAAAAATAGTTGGGACCATAAAGAGAATTTAATATAGACTGGGTGCTAGAGGAGTCTAATGAACCACACCTAATGTAAGAAAAAGTAAAAAACTTTCCATGTGTTTTAGAGTCACACACTAAGCTTATAGGCTAAAATGACATGTGGTTAGAAATTAGCTTTAGAAAACTTCAGGAGAAGGAAAGGAAGGAGGGAGGAAGAGAAGAAGGAAAAATTGATAGCCAAAGCAAGCACAGCAGAAATCTTCACTGTTGTTTTTGGATGATGGGCATAGTCCCCAAGAGGCCATTATGTTCTTTCATTATACTGTCCTTTATTGTATACTATTAAACATATCCATCCATCTTTGGATATGCTTGAAATTTTCATAATAAAAATGAAAGGTTTCTATGACACTGAGACTTGAGTTGATAAATAAAGATGGATAGGTAGGATTTAAAAAGAAGGGCATTTTAGGCATTTTACCTCACTCCCAGTCCCCACCCCTAGATCAATACACCAGCAACCACTCTTCAAGCTTCCAGGCTGTACAAAGCAGCACTTAAATCTCTCAGCAACTCAGAGACCCTCTGTGCTCACCATAGTTAGGCAGCCAGCTAGCCCTCTTTTCTCGATTTCTCTAATGACCTGAAAGCTCATGCTCTTGGCCCTGTTTCACCTACTACCTCCATCCTTCTAAATTTTGTTTCTAATTCCATCTGTCTTTTATTCCCAGTAGTTAACAGACTCCAGCTGCAAATTGCAACACAGTAAGTTAGAGATAGGCATTCTCAATGATGAACTCTGGGTGAGCTCATGGTCCCTTTGAAACCTCACACTCTCCAATCTGACATGTCCTTGACACTTGAATGTTCCAACCAAGTTGGTAGATGAATCTGGAGGGAATGAACACTTTGAGTGTAAACAGTTTTATCTTCTACTATTAATTCCCAGCCTTCCTTCCCACCATATCTCTATTCTAGCCTCAGGATTTCTAAATGTTTTCAGTAGTTTAAAAAAAAAATCTTTTAATATAAAAGTGAGACATACCTGCATCACAAATTCCCGACGTCGAGGCATTCCTCTTTCTGAAAGCAAAACGTAATCTGGCTCCTTTTCCTTTTTGGCCTGTTGAATCTGAGCCAGGCGGCTAATGGGGTTCATTCCTTGACCATATTCTGGTCCAGCCTAAAAATTAATTGAAGAAAAAAATTTCAAAATATGAAGCATGCTTGTAAAACTTCTTATTGGATCCTTAAAGCAACCATGGTTCTCACCTTCTCCTCTGCACCCCAAAACTGTGACTGAAGGAAATAAATGAAAATCAAGACAGTTTATAAAGGAAAATCATAAAAGTGAATCTGTAAGTAGGGTTTCTAGAGGATTTAGGGCTCAAAGGTATTATTGGTAAGTTGGGTCAACTATCCTTTTAAAATCTTTAATACAGTAGGAGTTGATTCACAACTTGTATTCATCAAAAGACACCAAAAAGAAAGAAGACAAGCTATGAACTGAGAAGAGATATTTGCAATATATTTAACTAAAAAAAGATATATCCAGTATCCAAAATATTTATTTTAAAACTTCTAAAAATTATTAAGAAAACGACAATCTAAAAAAATTGAGCAAATGAGATGGACAGATATTTAACAGAAGAAAAAACATATAAAAAGGATAATTCATCTCATTAAGATTCGAAATGCATATTAAAACCATAGTGAGGTACTATTTCACACTTATCAATTTAGTAAAAATTAAGAAGTCTGACAATGCAAACTGGTGAAGATGGGGAGTAACAAAAACTTATACAGTGCTGGTCCTAATATAAATTGGGAAACAATTTGTCAATGTCTAGTAAAGCCCATGACCCATCCCTCAGTAGTCTATTCATCTAAAAAACTGTTACCCAAAGGTGCTAGTTCATTTGCACAGGAATATCCACTGCATTATTTAAAATAGCAAAAAAGAAAAACTAGAAATAACCTTATGGCACATTCACACAGTGAAGAGGCATACAGCAGTGAAAATTAAGATTTAAGTACTGCTACCTGCATCAAGATGAATGAATTTAAGAAAAAAAAAAATGTTAAGTGGCAAGAACAAGCACAGAAGTATATATAAAGTATGATATAATTTATATACACTCCATTAAAACTATAAAACACTGGTGAAATTAAATAAGGTCTCACAAGTGCTCAGGCCTGGTGCACTGGGAAGACCCAGAGGGATCGGGTGGAGAGGGAGGTGGGAGGGGGGATCGGGATGGGGAATACATGTAACTCCATGGCTGATTCATGTCAATGTGTGACGAAAACCACTACAATATTGTAAAGTAATTAGCCTCCAACTAATAAATAAACAAATAAGGTCTCAATAGGTGGACAGACACACCTTAATGGAGCTACAGACCCAATATTTTTAAAAGGTCAATTGTCTTCTAACTGATCTACCAATTCTCTGCAATCCCAATCAAAACCCCAGCATGCTCTTTTTAGGTAATAATTAATAAGCCAGTGTTTAAAATTCACATGGAAATGCAAAGGAAGAATAATCAAAACACCTTGAAAAAAAGAACAAAGTTGGAGGAATCCAAATATCTGATTTCAAGATTTATTATAAAGCTATAATAATCAGGACAGTATGTGTGGTACCGGGACTTCTTGGTGGTCCAGTGGTTAACAATCTGCCTTGCACTGTGGAGGATGCAGGTTCAATCCCTGGTCCAGGAACTAATATCCCATATGTCACAGGGCAACTAAGCCTGTGCACCACAACCAGAGTTCATGCACTGCAACAAAAGATCTCGCATGATGCAACAAAGATTCAGTGTGCTGCAACTAAGATCTGACGCAGCCAAATAAATTAAAAAAAAAAAAAAAGACACTATGTGTGATACTGGCATAAAGATAGAGAAAGAAATCAATGAAACAGAACGGCAACCCGAAATAGATCCATACACACAGGGCCAACAAGGGTGCAAAACGCATTCAGTGAAGAAAGAGTAGCCTTTCAACCAATGGTACTGGAACAACTGGATATTCACGTGTAGAAAATAAATTTCAATCCACATATCACACAAAAATTAACTCAAAATGGTGCATAGGCTTAAATGTAATATCTAAAACTTCATAAAGAAGATACAGAAGAAATTTTTCTGGTTTGGTTAGGTAACGATTTCTTAGACACAACGCCAAAATCACATTCAGCAGTAATAATAAAAACAACAAAACAGTAAGGATAATCTTATTCAGAAAACTTTTATCTCCAACAGCAGAAAACCTTCTCTGAGGCCTTACCTTGTAGAAGAGAACTACATTAAAATTGAGAATATAAATTCAAAGACACCATCAGGTAGTCTTACATTTTAACAAGGTAACTCTGTAAATTAAAATCCAAAAGGAGCTCACAACCAACCAGTTTCAAATTGGCACTGGTATCAGACATGACTGGACCCGAAACCTGACTCTGCTCTGTGATCTGAGGGAAGTTTCTTAAACACCAAGAACCTCATCTTTAAAATGAGGATAATATCTACATCTCAGAGTGATTAAGAGGTTCAAATGAGACAATGTGATAGCTTCATTATTCTAAATAAAATCAAGGTAAATCGTCAACAGATATATTCTCTGTTTCTATTGCATAACAAGGAATGCTTGAAAACCAAGATACTATCCAAGGTGATCCACTTACTGGTCCATTATAAGGTCTGATCGTACTCAAAATTAACCTAGATTTCAACTCACTGTATCCATGTTGCTTTCTAAAAATAACCTTACATTTCAGAGAATATCTATAGACTTTAACATAAGACAGATATGATACAAGTAATTCCAAGTGTGATGTATGTGAGAAAAAATGCAGGGGACTAAATGAATGTGGGAGTCAGGGAGAACCAGAGAAGGCTTCCCTGACGAAGTCGAGCGTAAGCTGAGATCTGAATGGTGGATAAGAAGAAAACTCTGCAATAAAATGCATGTATAATAGAGGTAGTAGCAAAAAATCATTTTTAAAGTTCAAAATGTTTCTTTCCTCTTTCGGAAATAACATTTCAACAATATCCTTGCTTTTAATGGCTATAGTTCAAAGTAACAGGAGTTATATTTATAGTCTACTATAAAAATGATAGATCTTTTTTAGACTAAAGGCTGGCTATTCTTAATTTGAGATTATATTTAGTTTAATAGATTAGGTGGAAGTTAATGTGACTAGGTTTGCAGTACTGCAGAGCACTGTTCTTCCACTGTGGAGAAGATATATGCAGATTTTATATACAGAAGAATTTAGGAAAACAGACCATGGACACATTCATATACATGTAAAATGTGAACAGACAGAATGAGATACAAAATAACAAAAGCTTGTATTTATTGAATGGGTTTCCCAGGTGGCTCTGTGGTAAAGAATCCACCTGCCAAGCAGGAGTCGTGGGTTCGATCCCTAGGTCGGGAAGGTGGCCTGGAAGAGGAAATGGCAACCCGCTCTAGTATTCTTGCCGGGAAATCCCATGGACAGAGAAGCCTGGCAGGCTACAGCCCATGGGTCACAGAGTCAGACTAAACAACAAGCAACAAACATTTATTGAGTACTTAGTATTTCTACTGTTAATACATATTTAATAATGATAACTAATGCATTTTATGTATCATCTCGAGGAACATGTAACAATCCTGTGAAGTATGTTCAATTATTATTTCTACTTTATAAATAGAGAAATGAAAGATTAGAAAAGTTAGGTAACTTGCTCAGGTTACAAGGGTTCACACTCCAAGTCATTTTCTGATTCTACTGACCATTTTCTTAACAGCTGTATCCTGCTCCCAGCATATAAATGAAAGCCAGTCCTCGAAACCACTATGATTCATGATGAGGGGATCTATCTGGCATTTATTTTTAGTCTACCTTGCGATAGGATGTAGAATGCTACTTCAGGAAATGCATAACCTACAGTATCTCAGTGAATAATGACATTATTCATTAAAAAGAACAAGTATTTATGTAGTTGTTTATGTAGGTATTTATGTAAATATATATGCATGTATTTTTAAATTAAGCAAAGGTACAAAAGTACAAAACCTACAGAAATACTTCAATTGTTCTGCTGTATGTCCTAAACGAGAAATCCAACAAAGATAAAATGTACTTTACTTCTGTCCTCCTTGAGCCTGCTCTGAAGAAGTCTGCTGAACAGGTGAGGCTGAGCTGGCCGCTGGCGTGCGGACAGTTTAAGTCTTTCTCCGGGAGCAGACCTTTCACTTCATTCACGTCACACACACTGAGCGTTTGCGGGCACTGTCCTGTGCTAAGTACGGATCCATCTCATTCCTCTGAACTACGCCTTCATTTTTTTTAATTAATGTACGTAAGATCTGATTCCATAAAAGAGAGTCACAAGATCCTGAAGAGCCGTGTGGCTCTGCACTCTTCCCTGAAGAGGCGCTCATGCCCGAGAGACCAGAAACCAAACCAGCCCATGACCTCCTAGCTGTGCTCCGCCGCTCAGCCGTGCCTGACTCTGCCACCCCGAGGACTGCAGCCCGCCAGGCTCCTCTGTCCATGGGGATTCTCCAGGCCAGAATACTGGAGTGGGATGCCACGCCCTCCTCCAGGGCATCTTCCCCACCCAGGGAGCGAACCCAGGCCTCCGGCACTGCAGGTGTTACGTAAGATCTGATTCCATAAAAGAGAGTCACAAGATCCTGAAGAGCCGTGTGGCTCTGCACTCTTCCCTGAAGAGGCGCTCATGCCCGAGAGAACAGAAACCAAACCAGCCCATGACCTCCTAGCTGTGCTCCGCCGCTCAGCGGTGCCTGACTCTCTGCCACCCCGTGGACTGCAGCCCGCCAGGCTCCTCTGTCCATGGGGATTCTCCAGGCCAGAATACTGGAGTGGGATGCCACGCCCCCCTCCAGGGCCTCTTCCCCACCCAGGGAGCGAACCCAGGCCTCCGGCACTGCAGGTGGACTCTTGACCGTCTGAGCCAGCAGGCAGGCCTGAGGGCTGCTCTGTGGGTTAAACGTGATAGAGCGCACGAAGCACTGGAGCCCCATCTGGCACACAAGAGCTCTACATGTGCTGTCTGCTGCTGCGGCAACGCTGCTCACATGACTATTACTCTGCACCCTATCTCCATGCCCTAACGTCTTGGGAAGTTACCACAGGGCAGTGCAGACTGCACAAAGAATGCTGGATTACAGATCTGCAG